CTTGAAACGCAATGAATATTCATAAAATACAAAATTCAAAACGCTGGGTGTTTTGAACTTGAAATAGAATATACAATTCTACTGTACTCTCTTTGGCTTGAAATTAGAATCGACTCATGCAGAGGTCTAATTCATATACACATGTACAGTGGAGTAGCACTAGCTTGAACATTGCATTGCTTGTACTTTGATGTGTTTGAATGTTTTATGGTACAGAAGATTTGCTTACGGATGAAAAATAATAAAAATCGTCCGTGCATATATGTAAACATATTTTTATAAACGCTTTGAAGTATAGAAATTTTTAATATTAAATTCTACATAAAATATTTTTTTTGTATATATATCTGTGTTCGTATGGAAAAGTAGCTTATGTCGAAAGGCTGGCTTTAGTATAAATCGGCATTCGCAGTATACGATTGCGAATGACTCACTGGCGCTGAGCTGTTGTAGAACTTTTGGCAAATAAACGTGCAAGAACTAGTTCCGATACTAGCAAGTCAATATTCTTATTAAGTCTCATCAAAAAATTCCTTGCCATTTAAAGAGTAAAGGGAATGCCGCATTATACTAAAGCCAGCCTTTCGACATAAGCTACTTTTCCATATGAACACAGATATAAATAATAAAGTCACATTGACCCACCTGTACAAAAATCGTGGCGCGTCATGGACAAAAATTTTACAATTTCGGACCGAAAAATGTGAAAACGAGCTAAGTTGCCACGTTACATATGTGAACTTCCGATAAAACCTCATATGTTTGTGATTTTAGAAGTTTTGATTTTATTTAAAGAAAATTATGTATTTTCGTGCAGAAAACGTACACTTTTATTTAATGTTTATTAAAATTACACCTTAAAATACTAGTTAGTGGTTGAAATATTGGAAGGCAACAGAAAAAATTGAGTGTTTTGTCTAAAATTACCAAAAATTGCCAAAATTCGAGATAACTTATTTTACTGGATATAGAGAAATAATTGCGACTTTTCACTTGGCTGGCCGAGATTTCTTCATTTTAAGATTTCAGAATTTTTGTGTCGGATTGACAAGGTTGCGCTTGTTGGTGATGAATTAGCGCGGAGATGTGCTGCGGCTGTTTTTAAGAATGAATTTACTTGGCCTTGAGAAATATGCGAATGCATTTATGAATGAAATAGTTATTGTTGTATATGAGTATGTATACGTGTAATTATGTATGTGTGCATGAATGCTGCCGTGAGTAGTAGATATGTAGATTTGTATATATATATATTTAGGCAGCAATATGCACATATGTATGTATGTATGTACTTATATATGCATGCAAAAGTGTTGTCAATTAATATAGCATGTACATATAGATATATGTATGCGTTGGAAATGCATTTTCATTTGACTCCAAAACTATTGGGGCATATTAGTAGACGAAATAAAGTCTACTCTTAAGTTAAAGTTTGTCAGCCCCAAATAAGAAGAAAGTTAGTATGTACATACATATATGTAATATTATGTGCATGTGTAAGAACGTTATCAATAAATGATTTTGGAGTATGTGTATTGGGTACATATGTACATATGTAAGTACATACATACATATATTCAGATGCGATCAACTAATTAGCAAGGAAATTCAATATGATATTGTTTGCAAATTATGTTTATTTATTTTCAATGATTTTCATTTAAAATATAATTCAATATGTAACAAGAACCACAATAATAAAAGTTTAAAAGCTTGCACAAATTGCAAAGTGCTCATTTACACACGGCGATTTTTGTTGTCGCAACTCGACGTTTGTTGGAGAGAGCGCGACGAGGAAAGGAGAGGGGCACCGAGTTGCTCGTTCGGGCAACACGCTTTGTGCTCTCGTTCGTCTGTGTAAATTGAACCGCGGTTCACAGCTGACAACAACAATTGCATACACACAAATCGCCGTGTGTAAATGAAACGAGCAACACCAAAAGGGAATGTGAAAAATCGAGGCGACAAAAGTTTTCGTGTATAAACGAAATCAAAAAAAAACGAATCAGACTTCATCCAAATTTTTAATTAGAATATTTAAAAAATTGTCGGGTATGCAGTATTGAAGTCCATTCAATTATAGTATAAAAAAGTGCAAGTTTCAAGTTGTTAAAAATTACCGTTGAGTTTGTAGATTTTTTTGTGGAGGGTGGTCGCATTTTCATCCATATAACACATGATCAAATTTTTTTTTGTATTCTAAAAATTCTAAAAAAATCAACGGTAATTTTTAATGACTAGAAACTTGCACTTTAGTGTACTTCATTGAATGGGCTACAAAGCTGCATACCCGAAAATTTTCTAAATTTCAAATTAAAAATTTTGAAATCTTGATAACAATTTTTTTGAAGTTTGATTAATTTTTATGCAATTTGTGCAAGCTTTTAAACTTTTATTATTGTGGTTTCTGTTACAGATTGAATTTATTTTAAAGGAAATTAAATAAATAAACACAATTCGCAAACAATATCATTTTTAATTTCGTTGCGAATTAGTTGATCGCATCTGTGTGTACTACAAGCATCCATATGCGCATGCCTAATAGGAGGAAAGTTAGTTGCAGCTTTTTTCACATATACCTATTCCACTGAAAATGATGTGAAAAAGCTGGAACTAACTTTAGTGTCAACTTTATTTTGACCATGAATGAGCCCCATTATCTATATGTAATACGAGTATTGCACTGAAAAATCATCATTCAACACATTGGTCCGTATGCATAAACACTAAGCAATTGCTTTTACTTAAAATTTCATACCTTTCACTTAAATTTATTTGAACAAATCGAGTAAAAGCTCTGAGATTTTTATAAAGAGCATTTGCTTAGGTTACAGGCATATGGCATATTTTCTCGAAATAAATGTTCATAAAACTCAAACATAACTTTTCGAGAAAAACCACTTAGCTAACAAGTGCAATTGCTGCTTTTGTACGTTTTTGTCAATGTATCCATCCATGTTTGTTGCATTGAAAGCAGCATAGCAATCGTTAAAAAATTAAAACTGATTTTTTCTTCGCTTTTAAATGCCGACAACAAATTACCAAAGAGTACGCATTTGTAGGCTTTTTTTTGTCAATGTGTCCATCTTTAAAGTGAATTTGGGAAAACACTAAGGCACCTAGAAAACTGCGGTTTGTTGCATTGAAAATAGCGCAGCAACTGCAATAAGAATCGTTAAAAGAAACGATTTTTGCGACCCAAATGACGACGAAAAATCACCAATGAGTTTGCATATTTGCATAGCTTTCACATATTTATTAGATAACAAATCTACGTTTTGGAGTTAAAGCATTCCCTGGCATATATTTTCGAAAATTAATTTTCAATAATTTAACCAAGAATTTTAATCTTTTTTTTTATTAAATTAATGCCGCGAAAAAGAAAATCCAAACCAAAGTACCTAACATTGATACAAATTGACAAAATTATATCTCCGCTCAGCTTTGTTAACTTGCCGCTCAGATCTGTTAATTTGCCGCTCAAAATTTTCGATTCGAGTGGTGAACTTCTAGAGCGTTTTTGGTAGTGTTTGACAATTCACACGGCTATTCGTAATTGCTGCTTCTCTGTATTAAACGTTCTCTGTATCTACCGGCGACGTTGTTGTCTAGACTAGTTTTTGCATATTCTTTGTCTGAACAAACAAGATTCTGAAATGATAAAAGCGTGGTAAAAAAAAGGGAGAAAGTTGTTTTGATTCGCGCGTCAAAGATATGTAAAAGGTTTCGACGGTTTTGGAAAAAGGCTCACTGGGTTAAAGAAAACGTGAAAAGCATGCATTTGCGCGAGCTGGTTAGATGTGACAGAAGTTTTATTTTCACCAAAACATGGTACCAAATTGAAGCCGGCATCAGGAAGTGAACAGCCTGATGTTAAATGCCAAGGTGGTCGACCACTCAAGCAATTTACGCATTATAGTGGACGATCTAAGCCATGAACGAAACACACAAGATCCCGCGGGAAGGAAAGAACGAAAAAAGTTATTTTCTAGCTGCCGAAATCTCGACGCCATCTTTGTTGTAAGAAGTAAACAACGAACAGAACGGAGAAAACCGCGAAATTGTTGAACGCATGAAAAATCATTTTTATTATGCAAATTATTCTATAAATCATGCCGTTGTGTTAAATTATTCTTTATCTTATGTGTACACACGTTGTCACAAGCGAAAATGAAGTAAATTGCAGTAAAAAGCCACCACCAAATTGTAAACAACGAAGAAATGTAAACAAACGGCTAATGTCAAAATCGTTCAACTTTTTTCCTAAATGCGATTCTAACGGGCTAGTCTCCTGCCCGCGTGATCTTGTCTTTTTGGTTCATGGATCTAAGCGAAGAAGATTAGAACAGTTTTAATGTGCAAAACTTCGGTATTACTTCGTAAGCATGAGTCATCATAGCACCGCACAGTGTAACTTTTGTCATTTTTAGGATGCCAAAATTAATAACAGCCAAACCAATGGACCAATTCATTTGAAATTTTGCAGTGTGGTTACAGATACCTAAATCTGATTTGAAAATGAAAATGGGCCTGTTCCGCCCACTTTTTCCCCTTGCCCTCATATAAGGTGAAATTTCACATAATCATATTTTCTAGTTAAAACGCATTTTCCAGTGCGAATATAAATAAAAATTGTTTAGATTTCTTAACTTTACAGTTAGAGGCTTTTGATTAATATTTAAAAAATTTTATTTTCAAAGTCAAACACAGCTCAGGTACACATATTTGTAAAAACTAAATCGAAATACATACAATAAATAAAAAGTGATATTTTAAAGTTAGTCGGAGTCAATATCGTCGACATTCTCTGGTTCCGATAGTAAGCTAATAACTTCACTCGTTAATGGTCGCCGCTTTGTCCTAGGGGTTTTCCGCAAACTATTTATGAACGGGTCTGACGATATCAGCAATCTGTGCAGCAAATCCAAGTTACTACAAATTCTTGACTTTTTTCTCGTGAAAAGTTCACGATAGTTTCGTGCATCTTTGTTATTGTATGAAACCTTTTCAAAAGATTGATGTTTATGCCGGTTATGTCTGATGTTATTTCAGGATCTCCAAAGAATCTTCTCGCAGTGTTGCCATCATTTGTGTTGCCGGTTTTTTGCTTTGGCATATCAATCAAAAGACCAACTTCTTTCCTGAATCTTTTTTGTATATGTTCTTTCTTCTTTTTCATCTTTTCCTTATTTTCTTCGCCCCGCACACACCAGGTCTTCATTTCCATTCGATAAGCGATGTGTAGCATACATTCCATGCATCGTATCCAAGAATGTAAAGGGGAAATTCCGAAAGCAAGCATGCTTTCGTCAATATTTCGCTCTGAGAGGGCTCGCATATTGTTCATATCTTTTGGTGAAGCCCCACATATGTAGCACTTTTGCGATGATGTATATGCCGATAGAGCGTTGCAAACTTTGCCATCAATCATGCACAACACAATCGTCGATTTCACTAGAAATTTTAGGTTATCCGTTTGAATTGTTGTAGGACGAAGACTGGAAATTTGGTCTTTGACAGATTGCACCTCCTTTGAAATAACATCTCGTGTTTCTTTTGTAAAAACAAATTTTATCGGGCGGCAGTATCTCGTGGAAGATGGAGCAGGATTACTCCAAACTATAACCTTACGTCCGTCAACTATTGTATACATTTCAGGGAGTACTAGTGAAATGAAAAACATACTAGTGTCCGATTTGTTATCTTCCGAAAATTGCTGTTTGTAACAGCTATGCTCAGCTCCATCACATCCCCATTTAATAATTGCATTTAGTTCATTAACTTCAGGAATAGAAAGCAATACCTCTTCTTGTGCAAGACACAATCTTCGTAAGCTGTGATCAATTAGGGATTGCAATTCAATTTCAGCATAGGTTTCCGTTACGGTAATTTTTTCAGGATAGCATAAAACCTTTGATTCTTTTAGACAGTTATATGAAGGATATATTTTCCTGTTAACTTCTGAAGTGTGCTGCCGGATCATTGAGTATTCATGTGTTGAAAGATTTGAGTCAACTATCATCGCAATTGCTTGATCTGGTGTCAAACTTTTCTTATTTTCATCCGATAGTCGGGACTTTTTGTATGCAGTGCCTCTTGATGGTGATGCTGAGGACAACTCCTCAACTATTTTTGCAGAATTTCTTTTTCCTGATGATCGTAATTTCAATTCCGCTGCCATTAACAGTTGATCATTATCGACATTGTTCATTAGTTCCTTAGCTTTTCGCTTTCTTGTGCGTATAGATAACTCAGCGAAGGTTTTTGTTGGCCTGCCCGGCCTAGGAATATCACGAGAAGTGCATGGCTCAACATCAAGGATACAATCTTTGAAATCATGATTTTTTGATAACCATTGAGACTCTTGCTCAATAAATTTTTTTGTAGATCGGCCACAACGTTCCCATCTCATACGAATATCATGACTTAGCCTCATGATGTATTGTTTTAGTTTTAAATGATCCACATCTCTTCCAATTCGACTCAAAATATGGTTTAGCATAGCTTTGTGCTTTTCTTCATTGTTGCTTTTTAGCCAAACTTCAAAGAGTGGATTTCGTGGTACAGCCATAATTAATTGATGATAGGTATAGGCAAATTTGGTACAGCGCAGTTGGTTATACTTCAATGCAATCTTTTTTTAGTATGATGCATTTTTAGCTATGTTCTTTATTTATATAGTCTTAGCGAAAGCACTCACTTGCTTAAAAGTACTACCTAGAATAGACGACCCTCAGGTAGACGTGCTCGATGGTTATAAGGGATAAGAGCACAACATAGATTTTAAAGGCTCGCTAACAATAGGAAAACCCATATGACAAACAATGAAGGCTATTTAGTACACAACTTTCCTTTTTCTGGGTTTTTACCATTTCAGGTATAACTGTCTTTTTTGCGGATGTAGTATCGTAGACTTGAATTGAAGACATTCCATTGTTGGTCATTGTGCATTCATATATGAGTAAGGGCATGCTGACCTTGAGTTAGCGATATGCAAAAATGACATAGTGTCGGCAAACTTCTGCAATTGTTTTTTTTTTTTTCTGAAACTATATTAAATTCCCTTAGTATATGTATATAATCATCAAGGCGAATTCGAGCGAAGTAAGTAAGTTCTATTCTATTGAAAACGAAAAATTTTCTAAGCTTTCCAAATTTTTAGTGGCTGTCTAAACAAAAAAAAAAAAAATATTAAAAAAATACCTACGTGGCTGAAACTTACCAATGCTGTTATAAACTACCCAAGTATGTAAAATAAAATAGTTTCAAGTCAAACCAGTTATCCAAAAATCCACCACGTGGCCACAAAGTTAATCAAAATTTTTAGACTGTGAAACGATTTTTACACTTGTTGCAATCAGCAAAGTTACATAACGGTTATCATGAGGATTGTGGGTTGTTTGCTTTGCTTTGAATACATTTTCTTAACAGTTGGTTATTTATCTGTAGCACATCAAAAAATTTTGAAGATTGGAGCACATTGTTTTTTTGACTTTTGGCATCCTAAAAGTGAAAAAAGTTACACTGTGCACCGCTTTCGTCAGTTTGATAATATGCAAGCATTTTCAGCTCATC